CCGAGGGAACAAAAATAGCACCGAACAACAAATAACACTGCGAGAGCGCACCAAAATAGCCGGTAAAAAAAATAAACGGGCACCGAAATATCCCAAAAATACGATTCTATCTATCCAAACTGATTAAAACCAAAAACACGAGACGAGAGTTGTGATCCCGATAGAATCAAAACAAAAATGAAAGATGCACTGTATGCGATATGCAGATGCGAATGCGGTTATGCGTCGAAACATCGAGCTAGATACGAGACCCGGTTGGTCAAATTTTAGGGTGCAACATATCCCCATTTGCTTTTTTTTTCCTCCCGAGGTCGTGTTTTACCCGCATCTTACCTTGTGGACAAAGTTCAATTTACCTGGAATCATGGGTGTTTTATCCCCATTTGCATTCTTCTCCCGAGGTCGTGTTTTACTCACGTCTTACCTTATGGTCAAAGTCCAATTTACTTGGAACCTATCAACAATTTTGTGTCGTGTCTATCTGACGTTCTTTCAGATACGACATGTCTCATATCCGATGTTTTTTCGGATACGTTGCTCTTTCTGACGTTTTTTCAGTTTTGAGTTCATGGTCTGATGTTCTTCCAGACATGTCTTCAAACTTCTCTCGTACGTTTAGCGTTTCCCTAAATGTTTCGGGTATACCTTCAAAGACTTTGGCTTCATCTCATGCCCTCATAGATGTTGTCATGTTATGCAACCCAGCATTCATTCGATGTTCTTCCGAGTGTCGTGGGTGTGTTTCAAAGTTCATTCGATATTCTTCCGATTGTCTTTGATATTAATCTCTGTTTCCCCGAGTTCATTCGACGTTCTTCCGAGTGTCTTGGTGGTGTTTCAGAGTTTATTCGACGTTCTTCCGAGTATCTCTGTTGTGTTTCAAAGTTCATTCGATGTTCTTCCGAGTGTCTTTGACGTCTGTTTCTATCTTTCAGAGTTTATTCGATGTTCTTCCGAATATCCTCGTTATCTTTCAGAATTCTTTTGATGTTCTTCCGATTAGTTCTGATCCCGGTATTTGTTTTCCGATGATTCCTGAAGATCCCGCTCGATCTCTTCGTTTAAAGGAACGTCCCGAAAACTCTAGCGTCTGTCGTTTACCTGGTCCTACCGCCGTATGGATCCTATGTTACCTTGTCACTACCGCGAGTCTTCTTCCCCAGTGCATTTCCTCGTTGCGTCGTCCCCTGTGACGTTGTTTCGTCTGCATCCGTGCATTTTTTCATTTTCATCATACGCATCATATTAGATTCATGGCATTGTCAGCATTATAGTTCGTGTTATTTTGTCCATATCATTGCATATCACTGCATCTAGGGGCCAAATTTTCGGTTATCTGTATTTAAATCCCTTTCACCGCGATTTCTCGAGTCTCCGCTGCTCAAATCATCCGGTGAAGCTATTTAAATAGGTGCATCTGTTGCACCCCAAATTTGTCCTACCTTACATAATTTCTAGTGCCACTTTATTTTGAATGAATAAAATGGCACAATTGGCAAGAGACCGTGTGTAAGTAGTTGTGAGTGTGAGAGGTTGAGAGTTCGAATCTCACCTTCTTCACTTTTTGTTTTTCTTTTATTTTTATTCTAAGTTTTCTATTTTCATAAAAAAAAATAATAACAAAAATAGTTTTTTTATTATTTAATTATTATTTTCGTATCTTATTTAAATTATTTTTTAAAAAATATTATTTTTTCACTTTTTTCATATTATTCATAAAAACATCCAAAAATTAAAAATATTAGAAAAATTTTTATTCTTTTTATAATATTTTTAATGTTTAGTAAATAAATAGGGTTTTAAGTTTGTTTTAGTTTTGACTAATTCTTTAAGTTGGGTTTTAAAGTGGGCATTAGGTTAGAGTTAACCCTAATTTGTTACCTATATAAACATGAGTTGCATTTGAGAAAAAGGGGAGAGCACACAAAAGGAAAAAACGGCGGCCGTTCTCACGACTTATCAGAAGAGGAAAGCGTCAGCAAATCCACCAAACAGCGCAAAACCACCGCGAACCGCTTCGAACCCCGAACGAGGTGAGCAGTTCTTTTTGTCAATAACAAAGTTTTTCTGTTGTTTTCAGGTGGAGCAAACCGAAGAAGAAGGAGAGAAATCATTTCTGGCCATGCAAGAATGGAGCAAAACTCAAAGGAGCTGCAACGACGCCGCCACCGTGATGAAGAAGAAGATGGGGTTTCTAAAAACCTAAAGATTGAAAGGCTTCAGCGTGAAGCCTACTTTTCCCCTTTTATTTTTTTATATTTTATTTTTCCCTTTTTTTTATTTTTCTTATTATTATTATTATTATTATTGTTCTGATTTTCTTTCAATTGTAATTATGTCATAATAAATGGTTAGTTTAATTAAAAAATATTTGCTAGTTAAACCTTTTGTTTTAAAACTATGTTCTTATAATAAAAAAAATTAAAACTGTTTTGTATTAAAACTAAAACTTCTTTTTTTAAAAAAAATTAAATTGAATCCTTTTTAAAAAAATTAAAAGTAAAACATTTTTATTAAAAATCATTGTTTCAAAATTAAGACTAAATTTCTTTTTTCAGAAATTAAAAATAAAGTTTTTCAAAATTAATAAAATAAAAAATTTCCCAATTGCATTTTCTTTCTTTCATTATTAATTGCTTTATTATTTGTCATTGATTTCCGCCTAATTTTTTTTTCACTAACGTTCTCTATTTGTTTTCCGCTAAGTTTTAGTCGGTCTCCGATTATTATTAATCAAATATTTCGTTATCATATTTGTAATTTGTTCCATGGATGTAATTTACGCGAGGTCATGGTCGCGGTTTATTTTATTTTGCATTTTTTGGGGATTTGTAATTTACGCGAGTGATCGTCGCGACGCTTTCTTTACTTTCCGCACTTTATTTCTGCCATATAATATTTTGCCATGTTTTGCATGATTTAGCGTTATGTTTCTTCCGAAGGATTAGGTCTAGTCGTTTGACTGCCGAGTCAATAACCCTAACGTTTGACCATTTCAAAACCCTAATCGCCTAGGTGTCCCGCCGTGGACGAAAATACCCTTTACCCTAGCATTAGGTCAAAGAGTCGCCGTACTCTGTTTTAGGGTTTCCCGCCGTGGAATATTTAATTTAACCCTAATTTCAATTAACAATTTCAACGTAGAAATAGGAGTTTCAAGACTCCACGTAGGCGCTTCCCTATGAACGCTTACTCCCCAATGAAACCTTGACCACAGTCAAGACGTTTCTAACCTCCCTTTCGAGGAGAACTACAATTACTTTGATTCCATTCCCGTCAGGATATGTAGGCATAAGATGCGACGTCTTGCCGAGTAAACTTAGGACTAACCCTTAGGTCTTTAGGTCATTCTATCCCTTAGCTCAATATATATTAAAGCAGATAATAAAATAAATAAAAACATACAATAAACAAAAGGTTCCTATAGAGTACTACAGAAGTTTAGGGTGCTAGTACCTTCTCTGAGCTTAACCAACTCCTTACCTAGATCTCTCCCCGCATTGTCTTTACGATGCAAAATTAGGTTTTCCTCTTTTGACATTTTCCTTCGGATAAATCAAAGAGCGGTTGTGAACTAAAGATGCGATTCAAATTAATTAATAATTTGATATCATATTCTAACCGCAACAAATTTGTTCCCCTGTTTGGCAGCCACGGTTTTCACCTTTACATCATAAATTTGAGCAGCATCCTTGGCCTTAGAATAAGTTTGTTCTACTGCCTCCCAAATTTCCTTTGCTGATTTAAGGAACATGCATGTATCACTAATTTCTGGGACCATTGAATTCCACAGCCACGCCATGATCATGGAGTCTTTTTCATCCCATGATTTGAACTTGGGATCTGTTTCAGCAGGTGGACTATCAGTCAGGTGACTGACCTCTCCTTTTTCTTTCAAGATGGTCTTAATGAGTTGAGACCATTTGAGATAATTCTTCCTATTTAATCGATAAGCACATTCTGCAACTCTCCAGCAGTTTGGGGTCTGTCCCCAGTTTCTAGAATAGGATCCACGATCTCAGCCATGACCAACTGCGATCAAGGTAGAGAGGGTTGCGCCGCAATGAAAGCTGCGACAAGGTTTAAAGGTAGCGCAGCAATGAAGGCTGCAACTTAGGGTTTATAGGCACGGTCAGAGACTCCCAAGAATCGGGAGCTCTGATACCATATTAAATTTAGAAGAAATAATATTCTTATTATATTTCTTATGAGGTCACAGGACCTATATATATATATATATATACATGAGCCTGCAGTTTATTTTAGGAAATATAGACAGCTAGTTCTAAGGAAACAAATCCTTGTGATTATGGAATTGATCCTAAATAAATAAACCTAATAATTAGCAAGATACAACTGTTACATTACAGAATTACTACAAATATAATCCTTCCTAAAATACACAAAACCAATCATTGTTTTGACAAATTTATTTGGAATTCATATGCCAAAGAGGGACAAAAGAAAAACTCACTAACTTAATTTTGATACACCACAGCATTAACTGTACCCATTTGAGCAGAATCTTTAATAAGATCCACCCCAACACAATTGATCTCCAAATCACTCATTTTCATAAAAGAGAAGAGTTCTACCTCTTTTTCTAAATCCTGCAAGATACTTAAGAGAGTAAATAATAACATGTAAAAACAAACTCATTAAACTACATATAGTCATTAAGACAAATAGAGTACCTAACAAATTATTTGAAGTTAGTTGTTATTTCTCCTTTTCATCTGTTCCAAATCAGTAAAACATTTTCTGGACTTGGTTGCATGTCGTTTAAGGGAATTTGGTTTCTCACAACGGCAAGATTGAAAAGAATCAGAGATGACGCGGAAGATAATTCTATATTTAAAAAATAAAAATAAAAATAAAAAGAGATAGTGTTATAATACTGTTTTGTTGTTATTATTGAAATTAATAATAATTATTGATGATTACATAATAAGACAGAAAAGAAGAAAAAAATATTTCAGGGGCTCACCTAGACATGAAACTTATGTGATCAATTCATCATTGATAATTATGGCAGGAATGTGAGCAATCTTAAGCCAGTTGATCCCTCGCTTCCTCCGCAAACTTGCTTCCAGTAATGGACAGCGAGTCACACTTAGTACTGAAATAGAGGAAGGAAATCCATTTTTTGGCAACAACTTGAGTTTGGGAGCGTTAATAATCTCAAGGTTTTGGAGAGAAGTGAGATGTTGAAGCCACAACTCACCGATGTTTGTATCATTAAGACCACAAATGCATAACTTCACAAGTGATACAGATAGCAGTGGCATCAACAGCAAATTCACCGTATTATCTCCGTTAATCCTCAGCCCCGAAAGACAGGTAAGATGTTCCCATGTTGACCGAGCACTCCACATAATCCCTCCAACAGAACCAACAGTCAGTTCTTGTAAACTGCTAGGTAAATCATCTATGAAAAAAGATTGAAGATTTGGAAGATTATCAATTTCAACTTCTTGAAGGTTAGTTAGAGTGTGCATTGCTCCTGGTAGTGAAGGAAGCTTCTCACACTTCCACAATGCAAAATAAACGAGGTTTTGAGTGGCCAATCCACCTAGGGGAAATGACTCCAGTACATTACAATCCCATATTTTGATGCTTCTAAGAAATGAGAGACTCTTTTGAGATGCGCCTTCTGCAATTGATATTGATTTCAGATTTTTACAACCCTCAATAAATAGACTTTTAAGAACGGGCAGAGCGCCTAAGGTAAATGATGTCATTGAATTACAGCTATAAGAAATTTTTAATTCCTCAAGCAAAGTGTAACTGGACAAATATTCACAAGGAAGGAACTCTAGATTCTCACAATTATTGATTATGAAAATTTTCAATGTTTTTGGTAGACTGTCAACTGGAAAAGACATCAGAGACGAAAAGCCATCTATAGTCAACTGTCCAAGAGAATTTAGAGGGAACGTCAATTGCCGGAATACATTATTTGATGGTGGCATTAACTGCACTCGTAGAGCACATTCTCTTAACTCAAGTTCAATTAAGGAAGGGAATTTTTCTGGTATATTTCCTACTATCAGTTTCGGACACTTACTTAGTGACAAAGTTTTTAGACTAGGAAACTTTGTAGCCGTACCGCCAGTCAACTTCCATTCTTCCAACTCATGCATATCTGCAAAATGTAGAATCTCGAGGGAGGGAAAAGGTTGAATTGAAGAGTTATCACTTCCATAGAACTCAGTACCAATTGTATGTACTGATTGCATCCCTTCAATAATGAGTTCTTTCAAATTAACCAACTGTCCAAGGGGTGGAAGCCATAAACAATCATCGCAATTCGAGATCTTCAAATACACCATGTTGCTAAATAAAAAATCACCCAACCAATTTGGAAAGCTGATTCCACCATAACCTTTGATAGTGAGACTTTTCAAATTTGTTGAGGGTTGCAAATGTTCAAGTACAACACTTTTAATTTGTGAATCTGGAAAAGTACTACCATAATCCCACCTCAAAACTAATTCATCTATTTGTTCTTTCATCTTTATATTGGCTTGATCTACTTCAAAGGGGTCATTAACATTTTGTAGCTGTGATATGGAAAGTTTTCCATGTAGATGGGGAAACTGTCCCAGCTCTGCAACTCTCAGCCCATCATTATGTTTGCTGACAACAAAGTCTGACAAAAATTGGAGATTTTCTAGTTTAGCTATCTGTAAGGGCATCTCCCTCAATGCAGTGTCACTAACGTCAAGGTGGCGCAGATTAACCAATTTTCCCATGTCTTCTGGTAATTCAACGAGCCTTCTACAACCCGCCAACAACAAGAACTGCAGATTGTAAAGCTTGCATGTTTCAGAAGGCAGCCTTTCAATCTTAGTGTGAGAAAGATTTAAGTACTGCAAGTAAAACAAATTTCCAATAGAATTGGGAGCCTCGGTGATACTCTTGTAGTTTGACAAAGACAACACACGTAATTGTTTCATTGTTGGCAACAACTCTTGTACTACCTTGTTAGATAGCAAACAACAAGGCAATTGTGTTTGTAATGGTAATGCTAGAATGGTACGTAGACGTTCTAATCCAGACAATTTATCAAATTTATTAAATGGGTCATATAGCCCTCTATTGTATGACAAATAATGTACACTTTCATGTAGGTTATGTTCGTCCAACCTCATACAATATGGCGATGAAACCATCGTAGCTAAATCATGGATGACGTTATGCATTTCAAAGTTTGATTTCTCATCACTGATAGATCGTCGTTGTATCAACGACCTTGACACTAGTATATCAAAGTATTCTTCTCCAACTTCTTCCAAACTTTCTTGACCTGGGTACAGCTCTACTAAATTTTCAGCAATCCACAGTTGAACTATCGTTTGTTTTTCTAAGATGGATTTCTTTGGAAAAATAGAGCAATATGCAAAGCATCGTTTTAAAGGAGTTGAAAGATAATGGTAGCTCGATTCTAGAGAAGTGTGCACCTCGTGATTTGTTGGGTCCCAAATGTTACTTTCTAGCACATAAGTCCAATCATCTGAGAACAATTTGGAGTGAAGAAGAGCCCCAAGTTCTATCGCAACTAATGGCAATCCATCACACTTTTTCTTAATCTCCCTGCCAATTTCTTCTAGATAGTATTGTTGTGGATTGTCACATGCTCCAAATGCATATCTTGAAAATAAATACCAACAATCTTCACTTCCTAAAGGTCTCAAATAGTGAACAAAAAGAAAGGTTTGCATGGATCTTGCAACTCTTTCATCCCGCGTTGTGATGATGATCCTACTGTCAGTTTCCACAGCATTAAAGATGTCCATGAAATATATCCAATCAACCGATTTTGTATCCCAGACATCATCGAGAACTAGCAAAAACTTTGAAGTGCTTAAAATTTGCTTCAACAATACAAATAGAAGGTTCGGGCAATAGGTAGTCATCCCATTAGTGTAACTTCCTCTTGTATTATCAGATTCAACAATTTGAGAACCGAGGTTATCATTAACGATTGATTGTGAAGTGATAGACTCAAGAATGGTTTTGAAAACTCTATAAACATCAAAATCTTTCGAGATATATACCCAGACTTTGAACACAAATTTGTCCTTAACTTGTGGATCATTGTAAAGGAGTTTAGCAAGGGTTGTTTTACCAATCCCTCCCATACCTACAATAGAAACCATTCCTATTTTACTATCACTAGATAACAAAAGATGTTTGAGCCTGTTAATATCACTTTCTCTACCATAAATTACAGAAGATTCATCCTCCAAAATATAGCTCGTAGGAGTTCCATGGAAAGCATTAGTGTAATCGGAAAAGTCCAATCCAGGTTGTTGTTGTCTCAAAATTAAGTATTCTAACCTTTGAATTAATCTTTGCATTTCAAAGTTGATGAGGTCATGAATCTGTTTGAATCTGGAAGAGAAAAAGTTACGCACCTTAGTAGAAGGAGTTAGGGTTTCAGATTGTGCTTTCATTTTACAGAGTAATGCTTCGGTGTTGATCTGGTCAAGCAAAGAGTGAAGTTGAAAGATAGCATATCTGACCAAATCCAACCATTTGTTGAAAGTAGGATTAGCGATCTGTTTCTCCTCGTGATGATGAACAAGTGCAGATTGAAGATTGAACAGCGTCGTCTTCAGGTTAATCAAGACTGAATCGTCAAGCTTGATACTCTGGTAGTAGTCGGTGAATTCAGGAGAAAAGAGCTTATCTAAAATCACTTTCACAGAAGCTGACATGAGTTTTTCTCCAGCAAAATTCGCCATTGTTTGTAAGAAAAAGAAGAAGAATAGGTTCAGAGAAGTCACAACGAAATGAACTGCTGTTTTAATAAGTCTCCATTTACAAGTGATGTAAAAGAAAAAACAGTGACTGGGTAGGTGGATGGTGATATCAACTGGATAACTTAATTTTATATGTAAAACAGTATTTTAATAAGTTATGCTAAAATTGATTAATAAATTTTTTTAAAATTGAATACACCAATTTTTATTCTTAAAACTATAGTTATATTTAACTAGTAAAAATGTGAATTTTTTATTAAAATAAAAATTTAATTGAAATACACTCGCAATGAGTGTATATAGATGTTGAATGTTAAAAGAAATTTGATTTTTATTTTAACCATCACAAAAATAATGCAAACGGACGATGATGGTGTATTAACCGTATAAAATTATACTGACAATGCATAGTAATTAATCTTTTAAAATAACTATTTTTTTTAAATACAATTTCAAATCTTATATCATTAATCAAATTCACAAAATCTATAAAAACAACACAATGTTCCTAAACAATAAATCCCAACAAGGAAGATTCCAATCAAAATTTAACAAATCCGCTAAAATCAATGATTAAAGCACCACAAATTTTACAATAAACATTCTAGCATATAAACATGATTGATAGTGATAGGGTAGATGGGAGTGAAAGGAGACGAGTGAGACATTAGGGAATGAATGGAGTGATTTTGAGTGTTTGTAATTTTGGTGACTTTCTCTCTATATTATTCTAAGTCAATATTTCTCTTTCAACAAATAATATATTTTAATCACTTGATCATCTAAAGTTACAATGTCACCCCAATAATAAAGTCACATAATCTAATCTCGAAACAAAACATTAATGAATTTAGTTTTGGTAAAAATGGTTACATTAAAGTTTGGTTGCATTTTTTTATCAATACGACTTGTGGTTAATTGGTTGATTCAATTGCTTGAAAAATCAAAGGTTGAGGGTTTGACCGCATTTTTAATTTTACAAATTAGAAATAATAATTATAATAATTGATTAAATTAATAAGACATCAATTAACTCTAAATTTAATTTAATTAAAAAATATATATTTAAAATTAAAAGAAATAATTAAAAAATAAAATAATGATTTTTTGAATTTAAATATTTTCATGTAACTAGATTTAATGATGTGGCGCCATGTATTAAGTGTCACATCAGTACTTTTAGGTGCTACATACACAAAAGTGGAGAGATAAAAAAATCCAAAAAAAAAATTAATTGAAGGACAAAAAATTGATTTTTTTTAAGGGGATTAAAAATTTAAAAATAAATAAATAAAGAGACTAAAACTACATTCAAGACAATATTAAAATAACCATTCTTTCAAATTCATTACCAAATTAACCATGTTTAGGTGGACAAAAAATGAGTAATCAACACAGTTGACGCATGCATTTGTGTGATATGCATAGGTATCATCCTTGTTGGCGCATGCATTATTGTGTCGCCACTACAAGTGACGCATGCATGCATCTATTAGGAACATGCGTCACATGTAGTGGCTACTCCTTTATTTGTAAATTCTATAAATACAGCATTCCTCTGCATCATTTTTCACACATCTTCTTACTATCTCCTTCTATTTTTCTTCAACGTCCTTCCATTTATCTATAAAATCTCTTCATATGTGTGTCCTTATATTCACAAGAGAAATGTTGATTTAAACTATTCGGCAATAAAACCTCCGATGAAGATCCGACTTTAGAATACATAGACGTTTGAACATCTTAACAGGATTTTAATCCGTTGGTTAGATGGATACATTGTAGAGAGTGAAATGATCAAAAGAATTTAAAGGATATTTACCACGTTCAATCAAAATAGAGAAATTCGTTTTTAGGACAATGTTAAAGGTGACAGAGATGTTCACGTGATGATATATAGTTCTCAGAAAATTGTCCTGATGGTTGTAATCGCATAGTTATGTTGTTTAGTCCTTGTATTTATTTGTTTTGTTGTATAATTGTTGTTTAAGTTATTCTTTAGTTGTTGTTTTTATATTGTTGTAATCGAAAGTTATGATATTTATGAAATGAATATTATTTTCAATATAAAGTAAAATGGTTACATTTAAAATTATGTTATTGTATTCGGTCCAACGTTGAGACAGTTTGTACGATTGTGAGGGCTAACGACATGAACTACATAATCTCATTAATTTGTTTGACGTATCCATTTCGGTTTGAATACGTGTGATGTTAGGGCGGCTCGTTTCCTTTCTTCGCATTATTTCATTGTGCTAGATTATCCCCCCTTGATATGTAGGCCAATAGTCCTCTTTTGCTACCACCGGAAAGCTATTGTTGTAGACATTGCATAGGTTTATGACTTTGTAAATGAAGGATAGTAAGTTGGAAAGGTCCTCGCGAGCCTTTGATCACGCCGCAATGACATAGGAGCAAGGCATAGGAAAGGCTGGGAATTTTCCGCAGTCGCACTGACCTCTAAGTAGTTTCACTCGATAGTATCCCCTCGGTCTCCCTTCATAATAATTTATTTACTCAGCAACATTCAATAAACATTTATTACGATCAAACACTGTGACCACATGTGTGTTAGCTTTGGCGGTTTCCTCCTTAGAAGGTGCCATATTGACTGGCGAATGTTCTTAAAAAACAACCTATGTGGCATACCCAATGGCGCGTACATTGGAGGTCACATGCAGCACAGTCTTCACGTGAATGCAAAACCACGTCTATAAATATTGTTATGTCTCTCACCATTTCCACCAAACACAGTCAATATATTCACTTTGTCAGCAACAAACACTCAAGTCTACCCATTTTGTCAGCAAAAATGTCTCTACTAACCATGGGTGATGAACATCGTGGAACTATCAACAACATTGTCGAGTTTATAAGTTATTATTTTTGTTAATACAATAGCTTATTTAATTTCTGATCTGACCTGATCAGAAGGGGATCACTAGTTGGCCACACTCTGCTGGACTGCTGCCTGTTCACCGGTAATGAGGAGGAGGAGGGGGTGTACCTGCAAGACACTCTGATGCCAAAGTAAGTATATGGGCAGAGTGATCATAAGTATAGAAAAAGGGGTAAGAAGTGAATTACCTGACCCTCTTGTGGATGAGGGTATTTATAGAGAGACCCCAACGTTGGGCCAATGGTCACTTGCGTTGGGCTGGATTGTCAGGCCCAACCCAGGTGACTACTAGGGCTTACGTGGCATAGTGAAGACCAGGACGTGGTCTTCGCCCTAGTCCAACTGTCCCGTGATCTCCAGAAAGTGGGTTTGACCTGCTCTTTCAGAGGTGGACAGTTGGTCGGTGACGTGTCCCCGCGGATGGGAGCACGTGGAGAACGTGCGAATGGCACGTTGATCTCCCCGCGGAGGGGAGCTCGCGAGGTTCCCCGAGGGTGTGTTGTTCTCGCCGCTGAGGGGAACACACGAGGGCGTGGGGGAGACACGTTGTCCTGCTTGTCGGCATGGGGATTCCGCCCGCGGAGGGCTGTTCTGCCCGACGAGTGACAACGGTTGGCAGCGCCTCCCCGCAAAGGGGAGAGCGCAGAGGGCGTCCTGAGGCACGCTGTTCTGCCCGACAGGAGCATGTCCTGTCTGTCAAGGGGTCACGTGCTCGGTCAGCCTACTTAAACCATATTGGGCCTTTATTATGTATCATTGGGTTGGGTCGCGAGGTGAGGTCGGGGCCCAGGCCAGAACAATTTCCTTAATATTATATCTTATTTGTTTTCATTACTTATTTTTTGTTAGGAACCAAAGAGTTTTTGATGTCGTGGATATGAATATGTACCACACGATCCATTGATAGAACCATACCTACGAGCATGCAATTTTGATAATATACTCAACATACTCTCATACTCTGTTGATTACAAATTAATCCTTACTTTGGTGGAAAGATGGAGACTTGAAATCCACGCATTTCACATTCCATTCGATGAATGTATTGTCACACTAGAGGATGTGTACATGTTGTTGGGTCTACCTATCGATGGTAAGACTGTTAATGGTAGAGTTAACCAAGATAACTCTATATGCGAAGAATTGTTGGGTGCCCCTCTATGTGAAGACACAACTACGGGACAAATTTCATGTCAACCTAGGGGATCAAAGTATTAATTTAAAATATCATAAATAGTATTATTCAAGTATAACATTAAATGAAGAATCAGGTGAGTATGGAAATATAATTAAAGCTCAGTGTTATATTATGATTCTATTTGATAATTTTTTATTTCTTGAAAGTATTGGTAATTGTCGTTGTTACGAAAGATAAATAAAGTAGGCACATATAGTTGGGGTTTAGTTGTTTTGTCTCATCTATATAGTTCGTTGTGTAAAAATACAAAAAAGAATACTTGCATGTTTTATTCTTGCACCGTTTTGCTACAAGTATGGGGTTGGTCGAGAATGTTGTCACTCACCTCAGTTAATGAGAAGGCATTCACATTCCCTTCACAACAAAGTAAGTTTATCTTAAATCTTTGAATTCGTTAGGCTTTATAGTATAATTAACTGTGACTAATATATTTTCAATGTTTTCATTTTAGGTGGTTAGTTATGGGGATGAATTACAACAAAGTAAGTTTATCTTAAATCTTTGAATTCTGTTATTTGTTGTAAATTGTACAAAGCCTTAAGATTTCTTAAACATTGAATATCTTATAAATCTTAAGTGCTTAAGGTCTTTGTTATAGTGATTATCATGTACCTCTGGTTTTGTATCAAGTACACCTTGTTCTATATTCTGCTAAACATGTACCTCTGAGAAGCTCGAGCCAAGTAAGTCTCCTGCTATGTGCTAGAGTATTGAAAGTCTTGATAAGTTGTTGATTGAGAAAAAGTTTTGGATTGTCAGTCTGAGAAGAATTCTTGTACTTGAGAGTATGAGCAGATGTCTTGAGTTCGTAGAACTTAAGCAAGGAAGTCTTGGGCCTGAGGGGCTTGAACAGAAGTCTTGGGTTCGTAGAATCTAAGCAGGAAG